ATGGGATGTTAGTGCTATTGGTCTGTAGTTCTTTGCTGTTGCTTTACGCCCCCTTTGTGGAGTGGGGCTATGTCTGTTGTTTTTAGTAACTGAGGGACGACCCCCGTGTCCATGCTCCCTCTCCATAGGATGGAAAAGGCTCGTGATAGGGGCTTCTTGCAGTTCTTGATGAACACAGAGTTCCATGAGTCTGGCCCTGGGGCAGAGTGCATGGGCATGTCATTTATCGCCTGTTCGAAGTCATTTGGCGTCAGGATAACATCGGATAGGCTTGTGTTAATCAAATTTTGTGGCTCTCTCATAAAAAATTCATTTTGATCTTCGACTCTCAGTCTGGTTAGCGGCTTGCTAAAAACTGAGTCATATTGGGACTTGAGTAGCTCACTCATTTCCTTGCTGTCATCTGTGTAGGACCCATCTTGTTTAAGTAGGGGCCCAATACTGGGCGTTGTTCTCGGGAACAATACCTGAAGGATGTTAAATGTGAATCTGGACATTACTGGGTGCTACTTCCGTGGAAGCTCGACCGTCCAGAATTACCTACTAATTATAGGATGGCGTATGAACAGTTAAAGGGCCCAGCTCTGCGAACTGAGCAAAACACCAAAATTGTTGACTGCTTATAATGATATAATTAATAAACAGTTAAATAATAAATTGTTCTTACTTCAGGCGACGATAAATGCACACCTTAAGTGCACAGGTGGTCCACTGAGCGAAGTAATTGAGTAAATAATCTTATGTGGACAATTTCCGGGTGTGACGTCAACTGAAGAGGAACTAATGAGGATATGTGAAGGGGTTAATGAAATAATGCAGTAAGGTGCTGGGACTGACTTGGGATACTGAGAGAGACTTGTTAATTGTTAAAGTCCATAATTCCAGTATGCCCAATAAATTAATCCGGGGAGCATAGGTTTTATGCCCTGAGAGAATGGAACAGTAATTAGTCCATTTTGAGGATCAATAAATATGGATGGCCAGGGAGTTGAAGTGCCTATATGCAGTAAGGTGCGGGGACTGCCCTTGGGATACTGAGAGAGACTTGTTATTGTTAAAGTCTCATAATTCCAGTATGCCCAAGAAATTAACCCAGGGAGCATAGGCTTGGGTGTCACACCTTACAATAAGGGGGAAAATTTGTTAATACCAGAAGCATGGAGGCTTGAGTGTGTTTTGGGATGGAGCCCTACCTGAGGAGTTAACAGGTGGAAAGAATAATGGGTGATTATGAAAATTACCAATGTTGGAGTTCCCAAGCCAGGTGGCCAGTGAAGATGGGAAAATTGTACTCCACATTATGTAAGTCGTCTAGCAACGACCTCCGCCCGGCCGTAGTGTGGAAAATTTTTTGATTTTCCGAAACTATAGTGCCTAATAGGTGTTTAATGTGTCGATATGAGTCAAAAATATATTTGACAATAGGACAGAACCAAGAGTTCCCTTTGCGCATGCGCGGATGTGCGGGGGGAGAGGTCGACTCGGGCCATGGTGGAGGCGGGAGTGTTTATGAATATAGTGAGGAGGCTGGGAAAGCATAGAACCAGGAAATTGGTGTTCACGGCAGCCTAAGGATTAATATGGGCCTCACTTCATAAAAATGAAGTGTCGTAACTGTTCCTGGTGAAGTGTGAGGGACGTTGATTTACGGGACCACCGTAAAAAGGTGGTAAAATTAGTGAATAATGGTTCGACCGGGTGTGACTGGTGCGTGGCCATGGTGTGTGTCCAGGGGAAATACCCGTGTGTTAATCCTCACTCATCGGCCTCAGATCTTAATGGAGTGACCTCTAATGTGTATAATAATTATGAGACGTTAAATGTCTTGTGAATGGTTATGTAATCAGTGATAATAACATTGAGTTAAGAGAATGCGGGATGTGAAATAGATCGCCCTGCTCCGAGTTGAATGGGGTGATTCTCGTACCGAGGATAGTGAAGCTTTATGGAATCACGACTTCTAAACCAGGACAAAACCAACGGATACCTCGTCCTGCTGGAATAAGAACCATGTCGGTGTAAGCAGGACATCGAAATGAGAAAGGTGAATGGAGGAATAAGGAGTATCAACACCCACAGTTAAGTAACCCTTCTAGTTATAGCAGACTGATACTGGCCAGTTAGGTATGTTGTAATTGGGAAGTTATGGTGATCCAGCTACTCAAGTGACCACCCAAGAATATCTGGTAAGTGGTGAGATTATTACAAGTGTTTTCTTTGAAAGGATATATCCATGTGTAACCTACCCCACCCCCCTTCCCTTCAGTTAAACTAATATAATCTATACAGTCCACAATTAATTAGTAGCACCGTACTTGTGGGTGCTATCCAATCCATACTGATCTCGGATAGATATGGATAAGATTGTGAGGTCGAAGGAACCACTTGCCGTGACCAGGGGTGGTTAAGTTTTCTCACATGTCTACACGGGGTGACTACGGTAAACCATATGGTTGTCCCCCAATGAGTTTACTTGTAAGCATGTAATGTTGAGGTACATAAAGGTAATCACCCTAGAAAATTTTCCATAGAGCCCCTGAACCCCTTGGACTGCGGGGCCCCCAAATGTATGGGGCCCTAGGCAAATGCCTAGTTTGCCTATGCGGTAATCCGGCCCTGAGCATTGGGAGTGTTGCCTTACACCTGCTATTTCCATTCACCTAGCAAGCAAGTATATCTGGAGTATACCTTGAGAGGATTTCGGGGTCAACGCCTCCACGTCCCGGTCTGAGACCAGGCCTCATGGTGGATCAGGGCCTGACCAACCAGGCTGTTACTGTTGGCAGCAAGCAACCCGACGTACGAACCACAGCCCGGCTGGTCAGGTACTGACTAAATTTAGGTGCCTGTCCAGTGCCTTCTTGAAGACAGCCAGGGGTCTATTGGTAATCTCCTTTATGTATGCTGGGAGGCAACTGAACAGTCTAGGGTCCCTGACACTTATTGTGTTGTCTCTTATCGTGCTAGTGGCAACCCTGCTTTTCATTGGGGGGATGTTGCATCGTCTGCCGAGTCTTTTGCTTTCATAGTGCGTGATTTTCAAGTGCAAGTTTGGTATTAGTCCCTCTAGGATTTATCAAGTGTATATAATCATGTATCTCTCCCTCCTGCATTCTAGGGAGTATAAGTTGAGGAACTTCAAACGTTCCCACTAACTGAGGTATTTTATCGCAGTTTTGTGTACCGTGAAGGTTCTCTGTACATTTTCTAGGCCAGCAATTTCACCTGCCTTGAAAGGTGCTGTAAATGTGCAGCAATATTCCAGCCTAGATAGAACAAACGACCTGAAGAGTGTCATCATGGGCTTTACATCCCTAGTTTTGAAGGTTCTCATTATCCATCTTATTGTGAATTATTATCATTATGTGAGCAAATTACCTGCATGAGGTTTACAGGCTATTACCTGAATTATTACAAGCAAGTAATTTGTGTGAGATAAGTAGGACTTAATCACAGTAGGTCGCTCAACGTAACTCCCTTGTTGCTCACTTCCCTACCACTCTTACAGAAAGCAAGCTCTGACATTAAATTAATAATTGCAGTATTAAACATTAGTCATATTAATGGGAAATTATAAAATAATGTGGAATGTATATGATTAGGCTTGCTGGGTACACAAAAGAAATACGTATTACCATTTACCATTTCATTACTGTAGCTGGATCACACTACACCTGTCTTACATCTAGACCCAGTGAGTGATGGCCGTATCCCTTATCTTCCGCCATACACACATAATTCTTGAGGTCCCGCAAATTTCCTGTCGCAATTCTTCAGCAGGGGACATTAACATGGGTTCCTATTAGAAATTCAGGCCGAAAAAGCCCCAGTTTGGCTCGGAAGACACCGAATTATTAGCAGAATTTCTGCGACAACCAGTGCTCACAAATTACAAATGGTATCTTTCCCTATTTTTCTGTCCTTGTTACAGAATTGTAAGGGTTTTCCACACTATTTATCCCAATTCTTCAAGAGGAACATGTCAGCAATTTCTAAATTACGGACTGAGGCCGATATACACCATCGGACTTTCAAGAGTGCCTGATGACATTGCAGAATTCAGACCCGTGTTCACACATTAAATTCAATATGGTGTCTCCTCTGCGGCGTCATTCCTTCGACTGTTCTGCCCCCTCCCCCTCACTCGAAATTTCTTGAGGGGTCCAAATAGCATCATTTGTTAATACACAATTATTATATTATTCATTTATTTGCTCTACATTTAGGAAATTATGTAAAAAATATTCACACATACTTTCATTTTTCTGGCAGATGCGATTCATACAATGTTGTGATCTTTGAAAGTGAGATCCTCTGACATTATCACTCCCAGGTCTTTTACATTAGTTTTTCGCTCTATTGTGTGGTTGGAATTTGTTTTACACTCCGATAAAGTTTTAATTTCCTCAAGATTTTCATATCGGATTAATTGAAATTTCTCGCTATTGAACTTCATACTGTTTTCTGCGGCCCATTTAAAGAATTGGTTGATGTTCTCTTGGAGTCTTGCAGTGTCTTCAATGGAAGAAACTGTCATGCAAATTCGGGTGTTATCTGCAAAGGAAGACACGGTGGTGTGGCTTATATCCATGTCTATGTCAGATATGAGGATGAGGAACAAGATGGGAGCGAGTACTGTGCCTTGTGGAGTAGGTACCTGGATGTTAGTCGACTGGTGTGGGTGGCATCCTGGGGGACAAGAGTAAAGGACACCAATGTTAATAAGACAGACAGTCCCTCGATGACGCACTAACTTTCTTGGGTTATTCTGGGTGGCTAACCCTCCGTGGTTAAAAATCCGAACAAAATCTTAATCTTACCCAATGACCCAGAGTAAAATAAATCACTGTTTGGTTATCATGGATTATTCATTGTCCAGGGTTAATAATGCGAATAAAATCAACTTTGTCTCTTTCACAATTTATCCCAGGAGGGAAGACAGCACAGAAAACGAGACCAAAGAAGTACAGGAAGCTTTATCAGAGTGGCGGGAGGGAGGGGGTGGTGGCAGCACTCGTAGCAGCTTTCACACTCCTTATCCAGCAGTGTTGGTGGGTGATATGTGCTGTGAAGGCTTTTGTGTGCTGTGAAGACTGTTGTGTGCTGTGTGACGTGCTGTGAAGGCTGTCGTGTGCTGTGAATGGCTTTCAGGTCCCCGTGGTGCGTAAGGACTCTTGTGGGAGAGAACTTTCGTGAAGTCAATCCACTGCGAGTATCGTTTGCTTTAAGAGCTGCCTTCTCTGAGGGTCAATTGCTGTGAGGATGAGGGTTCTGGCAGTGTCGTCAAGGCTGGGGCTGGCTCTACTGCTGATCCTTCAGACTGTGACTGCAGAGGTAAGTTGCCAAACACTAGTGTGACACGCACTATGTGTAGCCTACGACACATGTTCTCGAAGAGAATCGACGTAGGTAAGTTTTATAGACATTTATAAACCGAGTTCGTACACATATTTCAGTAATTCTACACAGTTTTAGTTAACAGTACTGATTATTAATAGTAACTACAGTGAACAATAATAGAAACACAAGATACAACAATAGAAACACAATGAACAATAGAAACTATTATGACAACAATAGAAGATCCGTGAATAACAAAAGAAGCACCAGGAGAAACAATAAATGCACCATTAACAACAACAGAAGTGCCATAAACAACAACACAGCTCCGTGAACAACAACACAGCTCCGTGAACAACAACACAGCTCCGTGAACAACAACACAGCTCCGCGAACAACAAAAGCACCGTGAACAACAACACAAGCTCCGCGAACAACAACACAAGCTCCGTGAACAACAACACAAGCACCGTGAACAACAACACAAGCTCCGTGAACAACAACACGAGCACCGTGAACAACAACACAAGCACCGTGAACAACAACACAAGCTCCGTGAAAAACAACACAAGCACCGTGAACAACAGCACAAGCACCGTGAACAACAACACAAGCACCGTGAACAGCAACACAAGCTCCGTGAACAACAACACAAGCTCCGTGAACAACAACACAAGCACCGTGAACAACAACACAAGCACCGTGAACAACAACACAAGCACCGTGAACAACACAAGCACCGTGAACAACAACACAAGCTCCGTGAACAACACAAGCTCCGTGAACAACAACACAAGCACCGTGAACAACAACACAAGCACCGTGAACAACAACACAGCTCCGTGAACAACAACACAGCTCCGTGAACAACAACACAGCTCCGTGAACAACAAAAGCACCGTGAACAACAACACAAGCTCCGCGAACAACAACACAAGCTCCGTGAACAACAACACAAGCACCGTGAACAACAACACAAGCTCCGTGAACAACAACACAAGCACCGTGAACAACAACACAAGCACCGTGAACAACAACACATGCACCGTGAACAACAACACAAGCACCGTGAACAACAACACAAGCACCGTGAACAACAACACAAGCACCGTGAACAACAACACAAGCACCGTGAACAACAACACAAGCACCGTGAACAACAACACAAGCACCGTGAACAACAACACAAGCACCGTGAACAACAACACAAGCTCCGTGAACAACAACACAAGCACCGTGAACAACAACACAAGCACCGTGAACAACAACACAAGCACCGTGAACAACAACACAAGCTCCGTGAACAACAACACAAGCTCCGTGGACAACAACACAAGCACCGTGAACAACAACACAAGCTCCGTGAACAACAACACAAGCACCGTGAACACCAACACAAGCACCGTGAACAACAACACAAGCACCGTGAACAACAACACAAGCACCGTGAACAACAACACGAGCTCCGTGAACAACAACACAAGCACCGTGAACAACACAAACACCGTGAGCAACAACACAAGCTCCGTGAACAACAACGCAAGCTCCGTGAACAACAACACAAGCTCCGTGAACAACAACACAAGCACCGTGAACAACAACACAAGCTCCGTGAACAACAACACAAGCACCGTGAACAACAACACAAGCACCGTGAACAACAACACAAGCACCGTGAGCAACAACACAAGCTCCGTGAACAACACAAGCACCGTGAACAACAACACAAGCTCCGTGAACAACAACACAAGCACCGTGAACAACACAAGAACCGTGAACAACAACACAAGTACCGTGAACAACACAAGCACCGTGAACAACAACACAAGCACTGTGAACAACACAAGCACCGTGAACAACAACACAAGCACCGTGAACAACAACACAAGCACCGTGAACAACAACACAAGCTCCGTGAACAACAACACAAGCTCCGTGAACAACAACACAAGCACCGTGAACAGCAACACAAGCACCGTGAACAACAACACAAGCACCGTGAACAACAACACAAGCACCGTGAACAGCAACACAAGCACCGTGAACAACAACACAAGCTCCGTGAACAACAACACAAGCACCGTGAACAACAACACAAGCACCGTGAACAACACAAACACCGTGAGCAACAACACAAACTCCGTGAACAGCAACACAAGCTCCGTGAACAACACAAGCACCGTGAACAACAATACAAGCACCGTGAACAACAATACAAGCACCGTGAACAACAATACAAGCACCGTGAACAACAACACAAGCTCCGTGAACAACAACAGATGCTGGGGTTCACGACGGGTCACTTTCCTCACTTATAGGGATCAAGCATCACTTACCTACGCTCTCCATCTTTCAAAGTGGATACACCTTGATCCCATAAATTGCAGTTCTCCTTCCCTTCCCCGAATCAAACCTGATTGCTTCTCCTTGTTATGCAGCCGTAGGTTCTCTGTCTGTTGTACAAATACTGATTATACATTTTTTTATAAACAATATCGATGTTTATCTTGCAGGTAGAGAGGTGTGAGGCAGCAGCCAAGTGTAGCAGGCATGAAAGTGGCTCACATATGACCCATGCAGGTGAGAGAGAGAGAGAGAGAGAGAGAGAGAGAGAGAGAGAGAGAGAGAGAGAGAGAGAGAGAGAGAGAGAGAGAGAGAGAGAGAGAGAGAGAGAGAGAGAGAGAGAGAGACGTATGCATGGTTATGTTCCTTTAATTCCTATAGTGTATGAAGTCCTGGGGACGAAAGGGGTAACCTATCTGTTTCCCTTTACACCCACCTGTCACTCCAGTCCTCACACACACCTAGTATCATTCCTGTCCTTGGTAGGTAAGACACATAGGCAACAGTTAGGCAACTTTATTCCGAAACGTTTCGCCTACACAGTAGGCTTCTTCAGTCGAGTACAGGAAGTAGGCAGGAGCAATAGAGATGTGAAGGCGATGTAATCAGTCCATCACCCATGAAAATCGAAGATTCGAAGTTGTCAGTCCCTCAGCCTGTAGAAGAGTTCTGTTCCATAGTCTGAAACAATCTAGTGTCCACACACACACCTAGTATCACTCCTGTCCTCACACCTGGTATCACTCCTGTCCTCACTCACACCTAGTATCACTCCTGTCCTCACAAACCTAGTATAACTCCTGTCCTCACTCACACCTTGTATCACTCCTGTCCTCACACACACCTAGTATTACTCCTGTCCTCACACACACCAAGTATAACTCATGTCCTCACACACACACACACCTAGTATCACTCCTGTCCTCACTCACACCTAGTATCACTCCTGTCCTCACAAACCTAGTATAACTCCTGTCCTCACTCACACCTTGTATCACTCCTGTCCTCACACACACCTAGTATCACTCATGTCCTCACACACATCTAGTATTACTCCTGTCCTCACTCACACCTAGTATCACTCCTGTCCTCACACCTGGTATCACTCCTGTCCTCACTCACACCTAGTATCACTCCTGTCCTCACACAAACCTAGTATAACTCCTGTCCTCACTCACACCTTGTATCACTCCTGTCCTCACACACACCTAGTATTACTCCTGTCCTCACACACACCTAGTATTACTCCTGTCCTCACTCACACCTAGTATCACTCCTGTCCTCACACCTGGTATCACTCCTGTCCTCACTCACACCTAGTATCACTCCTGTCCTCACACCTGGTATCACTCCTGTCCTCACTCACACCTAGTATCACTCATGTCCTCACACACACCTAGTATTACTCCTGTCCTCACTCACACCTAGTATCACTCCTGTCCTCACGCAAACCTAGTATAACTCATGTCCTCACCTGATATCACTTCTGTCCTCACACACACCTAGTATTACTCCTGTCCTCACTCACGCCTAATATCACTCCTGTCCTCACTCACACCTAGTATAACTTCTGTCCTCGCACACACCTAGTATAATTCCTGTCCTCACACACACCTAGTATAACTCCTGTCCTCATTCACACCTAGTATCACTCCTGTCCTCACACTCACCTAGTATCACTTCTGTTCTTACACACACCTAGTATCACTCCTGTCCTCACACACACCTAGTATCACTCCTGTCCTCACACACACACACCTAGTGTCACTCTTGTCCTTACTCATACCTAGTATCACTCCTGTCCTCACACACACCTAGTATCACTCCTGTCCTCACATACACCGAGCATCACTCCTGTCCTCACAGGAGTGTGTACCTCGACCGAGACAGAACACAAGAAAGGATGACACTAAAAGAGAGGGTGCAACGTCGCAAGGAGGAATGGGAGGCAAGGAAGGTGGAGAGCAGGAGAAATCAGGCCCACGTGGAAGAACAAACACAACCCCCTCCAGTACCACCCACAGAAGGAACACAACCATGGCCGTCCCAAACAATCAAACGACCTAACCCAAAACCCACTCACTGTACCCTCTGCCCCCATCCCCCTCAGCACAAACCCCACCCCCACAGAAACCCACAGTAACCCACACATCCCCCTCTGCATGAACCCCACCCCCTAAGTAACCCGCACATCCCCCTCAGCTCAAACCCCACCCCCACAGAAACCCACAGTAACCCACACAATGTACCCTCTCCCCCCATCCCCCTCACCACAAACCCCACCCTCACAGTAACCCACAGCACCCACACACTGTACTCTCTATTCCCATCCCCCTCACTACAAACCCCCTCCCCCACTGTAACCCCCCCATAGGCCAACTTCCCCCACCCCCTCACCACAACCACCACCCCCACTGAAACCCTAGATAGGCCCTCTGCCCCCACACCCCACACCACAGACACCACCCCCACACCAACTCCCTATAGGCCCCTGCCAGGGCACCTGCTTCCCCTAACCCACCTCTCTCCCCAGACCACAGTTATTGAAAAGAAGTTGAAGGTTTGGTACACGAACGTGGATGGAATAACGAATGAATGTGAGGAGTGGCATGAAAGAATCAAGATGTCCTGAGACATCGTAGCGGTTACAGAAACAAAACTCACTGGGATAATAACAGATGCAATCTTCCCACCCGGATATCAGATCCTGAGGAAGGATAGAAGGAGCAGGGGGGTAGGAGGGGTTGCACTACTAATAAAAAACCGGTGGGGTTATCAAGAAATGGAAGGTATGGACGAGATTGGAGAAAGGGATTACATAGTAGGTACAGTTCAGTCAGGGGAACACAAGGTAGTCATTGCAATGATGTATAACCCACCACAGAACTGCAGGAGGCCAAGAGAGGAATTTAATGAGTGCAACAGAGCAATGGTGGACACTAGCTGAGGTGGCAAGAAGGGCTCACTCAAGTAGAGCGAAGTTACTGGTCATGGGTGACTTCAATCGCAGGGAGATTGATTGGGAAAACCTGGAGCCACATGGGGGTCCCGAAACATGGAGAGCCAAGATGATGGATATGGTGCTGGCAAATCTCATGCACCAACATGTTAGGGATACTACCAGAGAGAGAGGGGAGGATGAACCAGCAAGACTGGACCTCGTGTTCACCCTGAGTAGCTCAGACATTGAGCACATCACATATGAAAGGCCCATTGGAGCTAGTGACCACATAGTTATGAGCTTTGAATACATCGTGGAGCTAAAAGAGGAGAGGGTACCAGGAGTAGAAAGGGAAAATCTAAACTATAAAAGGGGGACTACACAGGAAATGAGGATCTTCCTGCAGAAGGTTCAGTGGGAACAGGAGTTGGTAGGAAAATCAGTAAACGAAATGATGGACTTTGTAACAACAAAATGCAAGGAAGCAGATGAAAGATTTGTTCCCAAGAGTAACAGAAATAATGGGAAGGACAGAACAAGCCCTTGGTTTACCCAAAGGTGCAGGGAGGCAAAAACTAAGTGCTCTAGAGAATGGAAAAGTACAGAAGGAAAAGACACAGGAGAATAAAGAGATTAGTCGACGAGCCAGAAACGAGTATGCACAAATAAAGAGGGAGGCGCAGCGGCAGTATGAAAATGACATAGCATCAAAAGTCAAGTCTGATCCGAAACTACTCTACAGCCACATCAGGAGGAAGACAACAGTCAGGACCAGGTAATGAGGCTGAGGAAGGAAGGTGGGGAGCTCACAAGAAACTACCAGGAGGTATGTGAGGAGCTCAACACGAGATTTCAGGAAGTATTTACAGTGGAGGCTGAAGGGACAATGGGAAGACAAAACAGTGGGGAACAGCAACAAGGGATATACCAACAAGTGTTGGATGAATTACACACAACTGAGGAGGAGGTGGAGAAGCTCCTAAGTGACCTTGATACCTCAAAGGCGGTGGGACCGGACAGCATCTCTCCATGGGTCCTTAGAGAGGGAGCAGGGACACTATGTGTGCCACTAACCAAAATCTTCAACACTTTCCTTGAAACTGGGCAACTACCTGAAGTATGGAAGAGGGCAAATGTAGTCCCCATCTTTAAGAAGGGAGACAGAAATGAAGCACTAAATTATAGACCAGTGTCACTGACATGTATAGCATGCAAAGTCTTGGAAAACATTATCAGGAGGAGAGTGGTGGAGCACCTGGAGCGGTAACAAGATTTATAAACGACATCCAGCACGGATTCATGGAAGGCAAATCCTGTGTCACAAACCTAGAGTTTTACGACAAGGTAACTGAAGTAAGAAATGAAAGGGAGGGTGGGTTGATTGCATTTTCTTGGACTGCAAGAAGGCCTTCGACACAGTTCCTCACAAGAGATTAGTACAGAAGCTAGAGGAACAGGCACGCATAACAGGAAGGGCACTGCAATGGATCAGAGAATACCTAACAGGGAGGCAACAGCGAGTCATGGTCCGTGATGAGGTATCACAGCGGGAGCCAGTGACGAGCGGGGTCCCACAGGGGTCAGTCCTGGACCAGTGCTTATTTTTGGTATATGTGAACGACATGACGGAAGGGATAGACTCAGAAGTGTCCCTGTTTGCAGATGACGTGAAGTTAATGAGGAGAATTAAATCAGACGCGGACCAGACAGGTCTACAAAGAGACCTGGACAGGCTGGATGTGTAGTCCAGAAACTGGCTCCTAGAATTTAACCCCGCGAAATATAAAGTCATGAAGATCGGGGAAGGGCAAAGAAGACCGCAGACAGAGTATAGGCTAGGAGGCCAAAGGCTCCAAAGCTCACTCAAGGAGAAAGACCTAGGAGTGAGTATAATACCGAGTACATCGCCAGAAGCACACATTAACCAGATAATTGCTGCGGCATATGAGCGCTTGGCAAACCTGAGAATAGCGTTCCGGTACCTCAGTAAGGAATCGTTCAAGACTTTATACACTGTGTACGTCAGGCCCATACTGGAGTACGCAGCACCAGTTTGGAACCCACATCTGGTCAAACACGTCAAGAAATTAGAGAAAATGCAATGGTTTGCAACAATTCTAGTTCCAGAACTAAGGGGAATGTCCTATGAAGAAAGGTTAAAGGAAATCGGTCTGACAACACTGGAGGACAGGAGGGTCAGGGGAGACATGATAACGACATACAAAATACTGTGTGGAGTAAACAAGGTGGACAGAGACAGGATGTTCCAGTGATGGGACACAAAAACAAGGGGTCACAATTGGAAGCTGAAGACTCAGATGAATCAAAGGGATGTTAGGAAGTATTTCTTCAGTCATAGAGTAGTTAGGAAGTGGAATAGTCTGGCAAGTGATGTAGTGGAGGCAGGAACTATACATAGTTTTAAGACGAGGTATGATAATGCTCATGGAGCAGTGGGAGAGAGGACCTAGTAGCGGTCGGTGAAGAGGCGGGGCCAGGAGCTGAGTCTCTACCCCTGTAACCACAATTAGGTGAGTACACACCTAGTATCACTCCTGTTCTCTCACACACCTAGTATCACTCCTGTCCTCACACACACACACCTAGTATCACTCCTGTCCTTACACACACCTATTATCATTCCTGTCCTCACACACACACCTAGTATCACTCCTGTCCTCACACACACACTTAGTATCACTCCTGTCCTCACACACACCTAGTATAACTCCTGTTCTCACATACACCTAGTATCACTCCCGTCCTCACACAACACCTAGTATTACTCCTGTCCTCACACACACCTAGTATCACTCCTGTTCTTACACACAACTAGTATCACTCCTGTTCTTACACACACCTAGTATCACTCCTGTCCTCACACACACACACCTAGTATCACTCCTGTCCTCACACCCTATTAACATTCCTGTCCTCACACACACACCTAGTATCACTCCTGTCCTCCACACACACTTAGTATCACTCCTGTCCTCACACACACCTAGTATAACTCCTGTTCTCACATACACCTAGTATCACTCCCGTCCTCACACAACACCTAGTATCACTCCTGTCCTCACACACACCTAGTATCATTCCTGTCCTCACACACACACCTAGTATCACTCGTGTCCTCACACACACCTAGTGTCATTCCTGTCCTCCACACACACCTAGTATCACTCCTGTCCTCACACCACACACACACACACACACTCACCTAGTATCATTCTTTTCCTCACACACACCTAGTATCACTCCTTCCTCACACACACACACACACACACACACACACCACACACACACACACACACACACACACACACACACACACAACCACACACACACACACACACACACACACACACACACACACACCTAGTATCACTCCTGTCCTCACACACACACCTAGTATCACTCCTGTCCTCACACACACAACCTAGTATCACTCCTGTCCTCACACACAACACACCTAATATCACTCCTGTCCTCACACTCACCTATTATCATTCCTGTCCTCACACACACACCTAGTATCACTCCTGTCCTCACACACACACTTAGTATCACTCCTGTCCTCACACACACCTAGTATAACTCCTGTTCTCACATACACCTAGTATCACTCCGTCCTCACACAACACCTAGTATCACTCCTGTCCTCACACACACCTAGTATCATTCCTGTCCTCACACACACACCTAGTATCACTCGTGTCCTCACACACACCTAGTGTCATTCCTGTCCTCACACACACACCTAGTATCACTCCTGTCCTCACACACACACACAACACACACACACACTCACCTAGTATCATTCTTTTCCTCACACACACCTAGTATCACTCCTTCCCTCACACACACACACACACACACACACACACACACACACACACACACACACACACACACGCACACACACACACACACACACACACACACACACACACACACACACACCTAGTATCACTCCTGTCCTCACACACACACCTAGTATCACTCCTGTCCTCACACACACACCTAGTATCACTCCTGTCCTCACACACACACACACACACACACACACCTAGTATCACTCCTGTCCTTACACACACACACAACACCTAGTATCAATCCTGTCCTCGCACACACACTTAGTATCACTCCTGTCCTCCCACACACACCTAGTATCACTCCTGTCCTCACACACACACACCCACACACACTCACACACACACACACACACACACACACCTAGTATCAATCCTGTCCTCGCACACACACTTAGTATCACTCCTGTCCTCCCACACACACCTAGTATCACTCCTGTCCTCGCACACACACCTAGTATCACTCCTGTCCTCGCACACACACCTAGTGTCACTCCTGTCCTCGCACACACACCTAGTATCACTCCTGTCCTCGCACACTTAGCTCAGTCTCTCCACACTAACTTCACACTAATGTCACTGTCTCCAACAGTATAGTGCAGTATATAAACACGTTCTCTCTTACTACACTTTGAAAACTGGAGTTCCCATATAAGCTAATGATTCTTATCCCTATCACAGATGGGCGTCGAGAGGATGCTAACCAAACGGGCAACAGACGCAGGAGGATATCGAGAGGATGGAGGCAAACGGACGACAGGCGTAGGGGACGCCGGGGTGAAGGAGCCGACCCGACGTTAGAAGCTGAAGAACGCCGAAGGGATGGAGTCAAACGGATGTCAGAACATGATAAAAGTCGAGGAGCTGGAGCAGAAAGGATGTCAGGTGATAAGGAGGGAAGTCAAGACCACCGCTCCGAGTACAAGAGGGAGAAACGGCTCCATAAACAGAACGTGAAACACAGAGAGCAAAGGGAAGACCAGAACGGGAAGAAACGGGAAAAACACTGAATAAGAAGAATAACGAGAAGAGGAAAGACAGAAAGGAGACGAGTGAAGTGCGTAATAGGAAAGGGAAAAAGAATGTATATAATCACAAGGTAGAGCGAGGGAGGGAGACCAGGAATAGGGAAGAACGAGTAGATGATATATGGGTAGAGGAAGGAAGGGGTAAGAAGTACAAGAGGGGTATTAATGAGAAAAAAGAAAGAAAGGAGAGAAAGAAAAATAATGATGAAAATAAGAGGATGGAAGAGCACAATGAAATTCAGTGATAAACATAAAAACAATAAAGACAAAATAAGGAATAATGAGCATAAACGTAGAGAGAGAGACAGCCAAAGCGACAAGGAGAAGAAGGCTGATAAAAAGCACAAAGATAAATATAACAATAAAAGGAAAAGTGATAGAAATAAGGAAACCCGAAAAAGGCAAAATAAATTCATATAAAGACGTGGACAAACTCAGCAAAGATAATGATCAACGTCAAAGGAACAAGAGAGATGTAGAAAGGGACACGAAAACGGAGAAAGTAAAAGAAAGCACAAAGAATAAAGATGCTCGGAAGAACAAGACTCCAGGGACCGACACTCATAAAACAAAACAGAAAGCGAGTCAGACTACATTCAAGGGGTAACTGAGGGAACCGGTCAGGAAGACCCAGCTCATGTCGCAACTGAAAAACATATCAGTCTTGGAAAATCAGTAACTGAGGAGACAACAACGACAGAGTACATAACAGTGAAGCACATACCAACGAAACCACATGGAAGTATGGAAAACAGCGCAGTTGCTGATGACGGCGTCGATGCTGGAGGTAATGACCCTGAAACTGTCGTAGAATTTAACTCGTCGGAACTACTGGGAGGAGAGACGATAGTAGATACTGTGACGGAGAGCAAGGACGAGAAAGAATTACGATCCACGGAAGCGCAGGGTCAAGATGGCATTGAACAGGAGCTGGGAATATTTGCAAGTGTAGGAAAAGACAAAGAAATTGGAGGTGAAAAAGTGCATACGAAAGTTGAGGTACGAAGGAAGATGAAGAAATATCTGGAAATAAACAAGACGGAGGAAGAAAAGAGGAAGGACTGAACACTAATGAGGAGAATTCTGTGCCACAAGCGATACCAGGAATCTCGGAGACAGACCTGGGCACCAATATCACTGATGGTACCGCCCAGGAGGCCGACCAGGATGGTGCCACACAAGACGGCGAGGCTCCAGGACAAGATGAACGACAGTAGTGAATAAAGTTATCTTATGTAACAGTGAAAAATATAACTGATTGTCATTTACTTTAAAACTAGTACAATTCTTTAGAAAAAGAAATAAAATAAAACTGAGTAAGTCTTCTGGTTTAGGAACAATGTGTCTTATGTAAATAACTCACAACTACTGCAACTTGCTTAATAAACAGAATACCTTTTCCTAGTGTAAAATTATTCAAGCAGAGTAACTCGTTTAATCAACAGAGCACCTTTGCCATTCTTTAAACCCGTGTACCATTAAGTAGTATACTTCATTGTATGTTCATGGATTGAATTCATCCTGGGGAAAAACTCTTAATGTTAGTAAGTAAGTTTATTCAGGTAAACACAAATCCATTTTACATAGAATTATCGTACAGAGCAGAAATATGTGTAAGAACCTGGGATAACCCAAAAAAGTCAGACAGAGTGACTTATTTCCATTGGGGTCCTTTTACCTTATTATTATAATAAAAGGTTATAATATTTTTTTTTATTCTATAATGAAGGTAACATCTTATTATCATACTAAAAAGACTATCTACTAACACGAGGGTCATTAAGACTATCACAATACGGGGGGTCATTACTAGGAATAAGGTAAAATTTAACACGTATGCTTGCTAAAAAAAAAGAAAATCATTCCCCTCCCTTTCTGTACTACATTCATCAGACACCTTTGGCACTCTTCTTGAACTGGTTTCATGCTATGACTGGCTTTGACATGTACGGGCAGTCTGTTCCATTCCTTTATTGCTGTACAATAAAAAGGGGTTTGAAGCCTGGCCAATGACTGTGGGTACTACAAAGTTGTGCTCTCTCCCCTAGTACTATGATTGTTTTGGGGTTCCCAACCTTGACAAAAATTGACAGCAAGATATTCTGGACACTGTTTGTGAGAAATTTTTTATAAACATGTTTTAGCTTCAGTTGTTTTAACTCTGTCTTAAACATTAAAGCATATCCAACTGCTGTAATTCATCCTGGCCTACATGTTCTCTTGGTCCCAGCCCCAGGATGAATCTTACGATTTTGTTCGGTGATTTGCAGTCTATCTTCAGTTTTTTGTCAAGGCAGAATACCATGAGGATCAAGCGTAATCCATATGGCATTGTAAAAGGGGCTAGACACAGGTCCTGCGAGCCTCAGTGGGTAGACACTGCGCTTGTCTATACAGGAATTTTTAGTCTGACATTCGCTTTCTTTACTACACTGTTCCCTATCAATTCTCCTGACATGCATGGGTCAAAGGGGATTCCCAGATATTTACTGATGAAACCAAAGTGATGGGCTCCCATTACACTGGACATTAAAATTATTTACCCTTCTCAGTTTATGTTTCGTGCCAAAAGAAAAATGGCTTCATTTTTCCCGAGGTGTAATAATTTGCTGCGTTAAAACTTTAGCTATATCTTTTGGGTCTTTACCTGACACTAACAGGGCACTGTCATCTGCATACAGTAGGAGTTTGCACTTGACACTGATAGGCAGTCAATGACAAAAACATAAGAATAAAGGGGGAAACCCAGAAAAACTGCCTTGGGGAACTCCACATGTTATCGGCAGGGGTTCTGATTCCGTTTTGTTGATTTTGACAATTTGTCTCCTTTTGCTAAGGTAGGACTTAAACAGTCTACAGAACCTATACCGATAGCTTGAAGTTTCTTACATAATATATTGTGGTTGACAGTATCGAAGGCCTTTTGCAGGTCAAAAGGGTTAAACCATACCTATGAGGTTTCCCCTTTGACATTTCAGTTCTCAAGTAACCATCAGATTAATCAGGGAGGTGTCGGTTGAGTAAGATCTCTAAAGCCCGATTGATGCTATGGAGAATGTTGTTGTCATTAAGGTACTTAACTACTTGAGAGTACACCGCCCTCTCTAGAATTTTGGATATTATACTGAGTATACTAACAGGGCTATAGTTGCTGACATCAGACCTACTATTTTTCTTGAAGATAGGAGTAAAATCTGGCCTCTTTGAACCCCTCCATACGGTATTAGTGGTGATTGATAGATTTATTATGTGAGCAATAGGGATTGACAGTTCAGAAGCACCATCTTTTAGGGAACTTTTGACGGGATGTTATCAGGGCCTGTGCTCTTATTTGGTTAAAACCCGCTTAGTTCTTTTTGAATAAAGTCATGAGATACACTTACTAGTTGAAAAACTGTTTGGGGTTACCCCTTTTTGGTATAATGTTTGAAAAATTATCAGAGTCTGTGTTTAAAAATATTGATGCAGCTGGTAGTTTACTTACTATGTTGATGCAACAGATGTGTAGTAGGAATTAAAGCAATTTGCCACCTAGATGTTTCGTGGCACAACTCATTACGATAGTGAGTACTATGTTAGACCCCATCTACTGGCTTATGGCTATACCCCAACTGTTTTTTGTTGTTGCCAGAGCATTCTGGGTTTATGCTTATAAACCCTTTAATTTTTGAGCAATAGTGCTTTGCCTTTGCTCCTTTTATAAGTCTCTGTACTCTGTTTCCTCACCCTTTGGAATTCATTTAGTGCTGCAATATCCCGTCTGTTTGCTTTAAATTTTTTTTAGCAGCTGGTCTCTGAATTTCATATTATCTAAAATCTCAGTAGTCATCCCGGGTTCAGTTCTTCGTTTAATCCTAACCTCTTTAACTGGTGCAATATTATCAGGTGGTAGTGAACATTTTTTTGAATTTTTTTCCCCGGCATCGTTTACGTCCGTGCAACTTGTTATCTCTGTCCAATCACAATTGTGTAGCCTATTACCAGTTTTTTCTTTACTGTAGTTTCTAGTTGACCTCATTTTTGTTGTCCTGTGTAGGCCTATCCTATCTCTAGTGATTTTCCTGGTGCAGTAAATGATGAAATGATCACTAAGACCTGTGGTAATGACGCCTGACTGACTAATGTTTTTCAGCGCGGTTACAAAGTATGTGGTCAATTAGGGTGGCTGAGAACTGTGATCCGGGTTGGTGTATTAAATTTGTTGAGTGTAACTATTTAAACCCAAATTTGCTTATACCTTTTGCATAGCCAAATATATCGCCAAATATATCTATAAACTCAAGGAAAAGTCAGGTTTGGGAGGTGGCGTTTACTTCCCTCAGTGTTTTAAAATGGCCGAGTCAGCAGACCAGGCCAGGCAGTCAACAACACCACACAACCCTGATAAATGGAATTGAGGGTGTTGAAAGTGGTGTGGTGAAGTAAGGGAAAAGTGAGCAGGAAGAGGGGTTTAAAGAAGAAAATTTACTAGTAATTCAGTGGTGATTGCTAAGCAGATACTAAGTGTACTAGGTGACTGGAAAAGATAAATAAATATTTTTGTTTTATGAGTAAAAGAGCGATGAGTGGGAAAATGGCAGGCATTAGGGGGATACAGGCTGCCATAATTATATTTATCTTCTTCTTCAATTCCATGAAGAAATAAATCAGTCATTGGGGCTGGAAAAGGCGAATGGAGTAACAGCGCCTGGACTTGAAAAGCCCAACAGTTGCCATCCTACCAAAAAGTAAATCTCACATCGCCGCAAGGTAAAGGCAACACTGCATACCCAAACAATCATTGTTGTTTTTGGATCATTGTAGACGCCAGCTTCTGGGGAGAAAGATAGAAGGTTTTTTAACAGTGTGACATAACTGTCATTATGTATTTGTAACAAGGTTTCTAAGGGTTGAGTTTCGGCTCCTGGAATTAGCAAAAAAGAATTCCAAGCAGTACTTTTTTTTTTATGGTGATGGGCAGATTTCAATATAAAAATAATTTAACGCTTATTATTGCCAGGCACTATAATGAGCTAATTTATTTGTTTATGATTTGTTTCACATGTAAACTGAAAAATGAATTGTATGTCTCACTTCACTGTTTCTCCTTTAATGGTGAGTCATGAATGAAGGAACAACTAGAATCAAACACAAGTTACGTTACCAAGAGGAATCTTGGTAAATGTTTTATTGAAATATTGAAAAAAAAACATTGATTTTTTGCTAAGTAATTCAGAAAATACGAACATTTTCAGAGGTATATACTGTTAGAGCAGTCGGAAACACACACACACACACACACACACACACACACACAACACAACACACACACAACACACACACACACACACACACCACACATACACACAACACACACCACACACACACACACACACAACACACACACACACACACAAAACACACACACAGCACGTCAAGAAACTAGAGAAAGTACAAAGGTTTGCGACAAGGTTAGTTCCAGAGCTAAGGGGAATGTCCTATGAAGAAAGATTAAGGAAATCGGCCTGACGACACGGGAGGACAGGGGGGTCAGGGGAGACATGATAACGACATATAAAATACTGCGTGGAATAGACAAGGTGGACAAAGACAGGATGTTCCAGGGAGGGGACACAGAAACAAGAGGCCACAATTGGAAGTTGAAGACACAAATGAGTCAGAGAGATAGTAGGAAGTTATTTCTTCAGTCATAGAGTTGTAAGGCAGTGGAATAGCCTAGAAAAGGGACGTAGTGGAGGCAGAACCAACACATTTTTAAGACGAGTTTGAAAAAGCTCAGGGAGCGGGGAAGAGAGGGCCTATAGCAACCGTTGAAGGGGCGGGGCCAGGAGCTAGGACTCGACCCCTGCAACCAACAAATAGGTGAGTAAAATAGGTGAGTAACACACAACACACACACACACACACACACACACACCCCACACACACACACCCCACACACACACACACATACCAACACACACCACACCCCACACATACACACACACACACACACACACCCCACACACACACACACACAACACACACACACACACACACACACACACACACACACACACACATAGTGAACGACATGATGGAAGGGTTAGGCTCAGAAGTGTCCCTGTTCGCAGACGTATAAAGTTAATGAGGAAAATTTAATCAGATGAGGACCAGGCAGGACTTCAAAGAGACCTGGACAGACTGGACACCTGGTACAGCTACTGGCTTCTTGAATTTAATCCCGCCAAATGCAAAGTCATGAAGATGGGGAAGGGCAAAGAAACCGCAAGAGGAGTATAGGCTAGGGGGCCAAAGACGAAAAACCTAGCTCAAGGAGAAAGATCTTGGAGTGAGTATAACCCCGGGATCATGTCCCCGGAAGCACACATCAACCAGGAAAACTGCTGCAGCATATGGGCGCCGGGCAAACCTGAGAACAGGTTCCGATACCTTAATAAGGAATCGTTAAAGGGACATTTGTACACCGTGTACGTCAGGCCCATACTGGAGTATGCAGCCCCTGTTTGGAACCCGCACTTGTTTAAAGCACGCCCAAGAAACTAGAGAAAGTGCAAAGGCTTGCGACAAGATTAGTTCCAGAGCTAAGGGGAATGTCTATGAAAAGGTTAAGGAAATCGCCTGACGACACTAGGGGACAGGAGGGTCAGGGGAGACATGATAACGACTATAAAAATACTGCGCGGAATAGACAAGGTGGCCCAAGAAGGATGTTCCGGGGGGGGAAACACAGAAACAAAAAGGTCACAATTGGAAGTTGAAGACACAGATGAGTCAGAGAGATATTAGAAAGTATTTCTTTAGTCATAGAGTTGTCAGGCAGTGGAATAGCCTAGAAAGTGATGTAGTGGAGGCAGGAACCATACATAGTTTTAAGACGAGGTATGATAAAGCTCATGGAGCGGGGATAGAGAGGACCCAGTAGCAACCGGTGAAGAGGTGGGGCCAGGAGCTAGGACTCGACCCCTGCAACCACAAATAGGTGAGTACACACACACACACACAGTAGTGCAGATATTGAGAACGTCACATATGAAAGACCCCTAGGGATCAGTGATCACTGGGTTCTGAGCTTCGATGACATAGCAGAGTTACAAGTGGAGAGGGAAGCAGGAAGGGCAGGACAAATGAAGCCAAACTACATGAGACGGGACTACACAGGCATGAGGAATTTCCTGCACGAGGTTCAGTGGGACAGAGAAGGCAGGGAAGTCAGTAAACGAGATGATGGAATATGTGACAACAATATGCAAGAAAGCTGAGGAGAAGTTTGTACACAAGGGTAACAGAAATAACGAGAAAGCCAGGATGAGCCCGTGGTCCACCCAAAGGTGTAGAGAGGCCAAAACCAAGTGTGCTAGAGAATGGAAGAAGTATAGAAGGCAAGGGACCCTGGAGAATAAGGAGAGAAGTTATAGAACCAGAAATGAATATGCACAGGTAAGAAGGGAGGCCCAACGACAATATGAAAATGACATAGCAGCGAAAGCCTAATCTGACCCGAAGCTGTTGTACAACCACATCAGGAGGAAAACAACAGTCAAGGACGAGATTCAAAGAAGTGTTCACAGAGGAGACAGAAGGGACTCCAGAAAGACGGAGAGGTGAGGTACACCATCAAGTGTTGACACAATACATGCAACCGAGGAAGAAGTGAAGAGGCTGCTAATCAAGCTAGATACCTCAAAGGCGATAGGGCCGGATAACATCTCTCCATGAGTCCTGAGAGAGGGAGCAGAAACGCTATGTGTACCCCTAACAACAAACTTCAACACATCTATCGAAACAGGGCGACTACCTGAGGTATGGAAGACAGCAAATGTAGTCCCAATTTAAAAAAAAAGAGACAGACACGAAGCATTCAACTACAGACCAGTGTCACTGACACATATAGTATGCATGGTCATGGAGAAGATTATCAGAAGAGTGGTGAAGCACCTAGAAAGGAATGATCTTATCAACGACAGCCAACACGGTGTCAGGGATGGGAAATCCTGTGTCACAAACCTACTGGAGTTCTATGACAGGGTGACAGCAGTAAGACAAGAGAGAGAGGGGTGGGTAGATTGCATTTTCTGGGACTTTAAGAAGGCGTTTGACACAATTCCACACTAGAGATTAATGCAAAAGCTGGAGGACCAGGCAGGGATAACAGGGAAGGCACTACAATGGATCAGAGAATACCTAACAGAAAGACAACAGTGAGTCATGGCACGTGGCGAGTTGCCAGCGTGGGCGCCTGTGATGAGCTGGGTTCCTCAGGGGTCAGTCCTAGGACCGGTGCTGTTTCTAGTATTTGTGAACTATGTGACGGAAGGAATAGACTTCGAAGTGTCGCTGTTTGCAGATGATGTGAAGTTGATGAGAAGACTCCAATCGGATGAGGACCTGGGAGAACTACAAAGGGTTCTGGACAGGCTGCAGACCTGGTCCAGCAACTGGCTCCTGTAGTTCAATCCCACGAAGTGCAAAGTCATGAAGATTAGGGAAGGGCAAAGAAGACTGAAGACGGAGTACAGTCAATGGAGCCAGAGACTACAAACCTCACTCAAGGAAAAGGATCTTGGGGTGAGTATAACACCAGACACATCTCCTGAGGCGCACATCAACCAAATAAGCTGCAGTACACTTGCGCCTAGCAAACCTAAGAACAGCATTATGTCATCTTAATAAGGAATCGTTGAGGACTCTTTACACCGTATACGTTAGGCCCACATTGGAGTATGCAGCACAAGTTTGGAACCCACACCTGGCCAAGCACGTAAAGAAACAAGAGAAAGTGCAAAGGTTTGGAGCGAGGCTAGTTCTGGAGATAAGGGGTATGTCCTACGATGAGAGATTATGGAAAATCGACCTGACGACGCTGGATGACAGGAGAGATAGGAGGGATATGATGGCGACATATGAAATACTGAAAGGAATCGACAAGGTGGACAGAGACAGGATGTTCCAGAGATGGGACACAACAACAAAGGGTCACAGTTGGAAGTTGAAGACTCAGATGTATCACGGGGATGTTAGGATGTATTTCTTCAGCCACAGAGTTGTCAGGAAGTGGAATCATCTGGGAAGTGATGTAGTGGAGGCAGGATCCTTATATAGCTTTAAGAAAAGGTATGATAATGCTCATGGAGTAGGAAGAGAGACCTAGTAGTGGCCAGTGAAGAGGCTGGGCCAGGAGCTGTGACTCGACCCCTGCACTCACTACTAGGTAAGAACAACTAGGTGAATACATTCATAGCTTTAAGAATTATTATTATTATTATTATAATCAAGGGGAAGCGCAAAACCCGTAGGATTATACAGCGCCTGTGGTGGGGATGTGGAAGGTATTCGGCTTAATTCAGGGAACTGGAGCACAGATCCAATTCCCTAGATTTAGAGCCCCTCACCCGCGTCAAGGATAGCTTAAGAAGAGATATGATAAAGCTCATGGTGCAGGGAGAGTGATCCAGTAGCGGCCAGTGAAGAGGCGGGGCCCGGAGCTATGAATCGACCCCTGCAACCACAACTAGGTGAGTACATGTGCACACAGTCGTGCATACAAAGACATTCACATTCACACACACACACACACACACACACACACACACACACACACACCACACACACACACACACACACACACACACACACACACACACACACACACACACAATGATGGGATAAAATGCACTCGCGCAGAAACATGGAAGGGGAGGTACCGCTCAAGATATGGAGAAACCTTTACAGATCACATGCTATCGCTAAGCAGTAGTGACATTTACCAATAAGAGTTGCTCAGAGGCCAAAGGATGCGGCGAAAGGGCATCCAGGAACTACAAGAACACTGTAGTGTGCCTGGACAGTCACCGAAGTGCATCGCCACTGTTGAGGATTTAAGGGGCATGAGCAGTCACCGAAGTGGGTCGTTACCAGGGGGGGATGAGGCAAAGTAGGTCTGGACCGTTACTGAAGTGGATCGTTACCAGGGGAGCAAAGTGGGTCTGGACCGTTACTGAAGGGGGTCGTTACCATGGAGGCAAAGAACGTCTAGACCGTTACTGAAGTGGGTCCTCATTAGTGTGGTGTGAGCCTGGGAGATCACGGACGGGGGAAGCGAGGTGTTACTGGTGGTTACACTGCTGACCCTGGTATGTCCCTCTCAGTCGGTCCAGGGGAACTCCCACCCTCTCCAGCTCTTTCTGACAGCTGGCGATCTGAAAGACGAGAAAATTGAAAAGCAATTTCCATGTTTACTTGTTGTTCTTCACGAACAACCAGATAATTATATCTTAGATTCACGAAAGACTACAAACTGGTTTACAGCTTCGAAATTCATTTTCTCTCTCAAACAAGCTTATCAACAATGAAGATCAGATATACAATGCAGAGAAGGCTTTCCTTGAGACAACATTTTTCCTTGGGTAGAGCTTTAGTAAGTCATGATAAAACTCTGCAGAAGGCGGAACATTGTGCCAAGATAAGCTTGTTCTGCAACAGGTGTCATTTCCTCACTATTGAATCAATATCGTGTTCATCTGAGTCTTAATTACTGGAGTTTAATATTATAGTTATGTGGAAGCCCTCAACACCTAAGTATCCTAAAAGTCGTTGGAAGTGAAATGGCAGGAGAAGGGAAGGAGAATAATCAAATTTCATTTACAGAAGAGGAAGTAATTTCCCTTCCTTTGAATTAGGGAGCCTCTGGCATCAGGATACAACACTTAAAGGGTCGTTAAAGAGAAAGGAATCCCTGGGCTCATTGCAGATACCTTGAAGAGGAAGAAGAATTGCAACAATTGTAATCTCAATGGTAGGCACTAACCTTTTGCTTATCCAAGGAGGAGGTTCTGGAGAGAATCCAGGCGAAGATTGCCTTGTGTGTTCCCTGGAAGTTGTAGCAGGTGAAGAGGCAGCAGTAAGTGGTGTAGTCGGTGTTAAGAACCATCATCTCCGCGTCGAAAGCTGAAAAAGCGAGGTAAGTGGTAAGTGACGTGGTTAGATGATATGGTTACCTGGAGTATACCTGGAGAAGGTTTCGGGGGTCAACGCCCCAGTGGCTACGTCTGAGACCAGGCCTCGTGGAGGATCAAGGTCTGATCAACCAGGCTGTTACTGCTGGCCGGTCACAAACTGATGTACGAACCACAGCCCGGTTGGTCACATACTGACTTTAGGTGCCTGTCTAGTGCCTTCTTGAAGACAGCCAGGGGTCTATTGGTAATCTCCCTTAAGTAGGCTGGGAGGCAGTTGAAAAGTCTTGGGCCCCTGACACTTACTGTGTTGTCTCTCACTGTACTCGTGGCGCCCATGCTTTTCACTGGGGGAATGTTGCATCTCCTGTCGAATCTTGTACTTTCATAGGGAGTGATTTCGCATGCAAGTTTGGTACTTATCCCTCTAGGTTTTTCCAAGTGTATATTATCACGTATCTCTCTCGCTGCTTTCCAGGGAATACAAATCAAGAGACTTCAGTCGTTCCCAGTAATTTAGGTTCCTTATGGTATTTATGTACATTAAGTTACAGTCATTTAACTTCTTACTACAAATAGTTACGTGTTATAAATATTTTGAAGATTTTTAGCTATGTCACTGGCAGACGCTGCCTCTCACTACCATGGATGGCTGAGATAATTTACAGACGACCCACCACAGATTAGTAATAAAGTCCGGACATTTCGACTAGCTTAGGACCAACTGAAACGTTGCTCAGTTTCCATTTTCAATTTGGTAGTTATTTGGGAATACTTGAAACATTGGCAGACTGCAAACATCTCTCGCTTACATATCTGTACATCACTCGATCTTTCACACCAGACGACACTGGAGGACAAGAGAGATAGGGGGGACATGATAACGACATACAAAATACTGAGAGGAATTGACAAGGTGGTTTAAGACAGGATGTTCCAGAGATGGGACACAGCAACAAGGGGACACAGTTGGAAGTTGAAGACACAGATGAATCACAGGGATGTTCGGAAGTATTTCTTCAGCCACAGAGTAGTCAGGAAGTGGAACAGTTTGGGAAGTGATGTAGTGGAGGCAGGATCCATACATAGCTTTAAGCAGAGGTATGATAAAGCTCACGGTTCAGGGAGAGTGACCTAGTAACTACCAGTGAAGAGGCGGGGCCAGGAGCTGGGACTCGACCCCTGCAACCTCAACTAGGTGAGTACACACACACACACACACACACAAATGGGACCGGACAACATCTCTCCGTGGGTCCTTAGAGAGGGAGCAGAGACACTGTGTGTGCCACTAACCACAATTTTTAACACTTCCCTTGAAACTGGGCAACTACCTGAGGTATGGAAGACGACAAATGTGATCCCCATCTTTAAGAAAGGGAACAGAAATGAAGCACTAAACTATAGACCAGTATCACTGACGTGTACAGTATGCAAAGTCGTGGAAAAGATTATCAGGAGAATGGTGGAGCACATGGAACGGAACAAGGTTATAAATGACAGTCAGCACGGATTCATGGAAGGCAAATCCTGTGTCACAAATCTGCTGGAGTTTTATGACAAGGTATTGAAGTAAGACATGAGAGGGAGGGGTGGGTTGACTGCAGTTTCTTGGACTGCAAGAAGGCCTTCGACACAGTTCCTCACAAGAGATTAGTGCAGAAGCTAGAGGATCAGGCACATATAACAGGAAGGGCACTGCAATGGATCAGAGAATACCTAACAGGGAGGCAACAGCGAGTCATGGTCCGTGATGAGGTATCACAGTGGGAGCCAGTGACGAGTGGGGTCCCACAGGGGTCAGTCCTAGGACCAGTGCTATTCTTGGTATATGTGAATGTCATGACGGAAGGGATAGACTCAGAAGTGTCCTTATTTGTAGATGATGTGAAGTTAACGAGGAAAATTAAATCAGATGCGGACCAGACAGGTCTACAAAGAGACCTGGACAGGCTGGACGCTTGGTCCAGCAACTGGCTCCTAGAATTTAACCCCGCGAAATATAAAGTCATGAAGATCGGGGAAGGGCAAAGAAGACCTCAGACAGAGTATAGGCTAGGTCTAAACTTACTATTCAGAACATCCACACTTACTACTGTGCAACCTACATTAACAGAACCTTAAATTCCGATATTAACCCTGACCTAAAACACTTTCTTAATAGTTGTGACAGGACTCACAGGTATAACACCAGACACAAACATCTCTATGGCATTCCCCGTGTCCGGTTAAACCTATACAAAAATTCACTGTACATAAAAGGTCCCAAAATCTGGAACACCCTACCTGAAAACTCTAAAACTGCATTATTATTATTATTATAATCAAGGGGGAAGCACTAAACCCATAGGATTATACAGTGCTTGGGGGAGGGATGGAAGGTATTCAGGTTTAACTCAGGGAACTGGAGCACAGATCCAGTTCCCTAAATCAAGAGCCCCTCACCAGCATCAAGGAACCTTCCTTGAGGGGACTATAAAACTGCAGACACATTCATCACTTTCAAAACTACCTTTAGAAAACATCTCCCTGACACACCCCACCGTCAGCTAACTACATGAAAACCGACAATTCTCTTGTATCACACACACATAAAAAACAACCTAGACCTCCCCTCGATATCTGTGATTCCACACAACTCGCACCTACACTCACCCAATTGACTATAAACAGAAATACGTAATACAACTATCACCTAATGAATCTTAACTAGTCGTAAGTGTAATCTTTATAGAGAATAAAGTTGATTTGATTTGAGATATATATATGCCTGTGATACTCCAATATAGGAGTACAATACATAGAAACTATGTATTGTACCAATACAAAACCATTCACATTGCTAATATTACGAACTGTAATGCAGTTACTTAGCCTCAATACCAGCATGCTCCATAATCTGTACCAATATAGAGTTTTGAATTAATCTTAGCCTGCCCGAAATGCCTAGTCATGCTAGGTGTGATAGTGGCCCTCTCTGTAATTATTTTTTATATAATTAAACCCCACATTGTAATCTTTATAGAGAATAAACTTGATTTGATTTAATTTGATTTAGGCGGCTAAAGGCTGCAAACCTCATTCAAGGAGAAAGATCTGGGGGTGAGTATAACACCGAGCACGTCGCCGGAGGCATACATTAACCAAATAACTGCTGCGGCATATGGGCGCCTTGCAAACCTGAGAATAGCATTCCGATACCTCAGTAAGGAATCGTTCAAGACTCTATACACTGTGTACGTCAGGCCCATACTGGAGTACGCAGCACCAGTTTAGAACCCACACCTGGTGAAGCATGTCAAGAAATTAGAGAAAGTGCAAAGGTTTACAACAAGGGGAATGTCCTATGAAGAAAGGTTAAAGGAAATCGGTCTGACGACACTGGAGGACAGGAGGGTCAGGGGTGACATGATGACATACAAAATACTGCGCGGAATAGATAAGGTGGACAGAGACAGGATGTTCCAGAGATTTGACACAGAAACAAGGGGTCACAATTGGAAGTTGAAGACTCAGATGAGCCAAAGGGATATTATGAAGTATTTCTTCAGCCACAGAGTTGTTAGGAAGTGGAATAGTCTGGCAAGTGATGAAGTGGAGGCAGGAACCATACATAGTTTTTAGACGAGGAATGATAAAGCTCATGGAGCAGGGGGAGGGAGGATCCAGTAGTGGTCAGTGAATAGGCGGGGCCAGGAGCTGAGTCTCGACCCCTGCAACCACAATTAGGTGAGTACACACACACACATACATGCAAGCACGCATTCCTCCATTTCCCCCAAAATACTTCTTAAATCACAACCAAAGCTTCGCCTTGAAGCCAACCAGGATGTCTTAAGTTTTATTTCCGTTGATGAATCTGTTCACCAATCCACTGGTGCAACTGGTAGTGCTGCTGTTATCAGACAGAGTGATGGCTCTAATGAAGAAATTGGAGCACGCATCCATAACTGGGCCTCTACCCTTCAGACAGAACTGTTTGCCATACTCCTTGCACTCAAATACGTCCATGTATCTAAGGCTGACACTTTAATTGTAACTGATTCTCTATCATAAATACTCTCAACTCGTTAAGTATAAATTGTGGCATGCTTGTGTCCGAAGCCAAACACAGGTATGGTAGGATTGTGGACAGTGGAGTCAGGGTGCACATGCTGTGGATTTCATCTCACATTGGTCTTCAGATGCATGATAGAACTGATAAATTGGCCAAGCTGTATGCTTTCAAAGAGGGAATAGATTGCAATCATGTGATGCCAGTTAGCAGTTTGAGAACACTAATACGAAAAGAACCTCAATTGAACTTTATTGATATAAGACTCAGGGAGATCGACACTAGTCAGTTCATCTATCATCATTCTATCATGCAGGAGGAGCCACATGTCTATGGTGCATCCAACAAAAGATAAGCCGACTCTTGGATGTCACTACTGCCCGGCTCCGTTTGGGTTACAAGTATCTTTGGCAGGTTAAATCACCACCACGAGATGTAGACCAAACGAAATGTAAACTTTGCCAGATGGACTATTGTCACACCTTGCGTCATTATGTATTGGAGTGGGATATAATTAATGAATTTAGAGACAACTCACTCAGAAATGTTCAAAAAAGTCAAAGTATTTATCCACAGTGGTATATTACAAACCATTCTGGAAAAATACCCTGACTTTGCTCACTGTGAATAATTACCACGTGTGTGTGTGTGTGTACTCACCTAGTTGTACTCACCTAGTTGAGGTTGCAGGGGTCGAGTCCAAGCTCCTGGCCCCGCCTCTTCACTGGTCACTACTAGGTCACTCTCCCTGAACCATGAGCTTTATCGTACCTCTACTTAAAGCTATGTATGGATTCTGCCTCCACTACATCGCTTCCCAAACTATTCCACTTCCTGACTACTCTGTGGCTAAAGAAATACTTCCTAACATCCCTGTGATTCATCTGTGTCTTCAACTTCCAACTGTGTCCCCTTGTTGCTGTGTCCCATATCTGGAA